ATTGAGAGCTTGCCAGGCTTCATCAACATCAGTGTTCTACTATTACAAGTTAAATATTTCTCTAGCTGGGTGAGTTGTTCAATTTAGCAGAGGAGGCTTGTCTAGAACTTGATTTCATATGCATATTAGTAAAAGCCATTACTTGAGACCACAATAACAATGTTTTGTTTCACTTAGTATGCTGTGTAATGAAATTTAGATCCATTTTTGGCAAGTGTATTGAGAGTATCTGATTCAATTACACATACAATAAAAAAATCATGCCAGAAATAGTCAATGGAAAGTTCAATAATGCTGTTTTCCAGGATGCTACAAGATCACCACTGTATTCAGCCATGCCCAGACAGTAGTTCTGTGTGTAGGGTGCTCAACTGTCCTTTGCCAGCCTACTGGGGGGAAAGCCAGGCTCACAGAAGGTAAGGGGCAAGGTTTAGCAGCCTAAATATTCCACTTACATAAATGTATTTATAGCCTATACACATTTTAGTTGTGATTTTGAAAACTGATACTGGAGTGCTTATTTTGCAAATTGCTTAGAGGTGGCTGGTAAAAACATTGTTCATGGGCCCTGAATTGCAGGGGTTTTTTTTGATTCTTGTTTTTAAATGGCTATCCAGATATGCAGCCAAGTAGTTACACTGTGATCAAACACACTTGATCTTAGGTGCTTTAACTTGTTTCCTTTAGCCTATCTGTAGTAAATGCAGCCTATTTAATTCTGAACTAAGTTTAAAGTGTTAAAAAGCACCATTAAAGGAGTAGGGTACTTGTGCCATGCTAAAGGGATTCTGTGCCACTGCCACCTGTCTGCTTTTAAACAGTAGTACTGTAAGGCAGATCCCTGGCTTATGACTTACAATTTGTTTTGTATAAATTATAAGGACACAAGCAGCTGCTGATAATTATGTACAGATAACTGGTGTAGCACCAGTATCTTGAAATGCAACCTACTGCCTGGGGTATCCGAACAGCTGACATGAGTTATACAACAACCATGTTACTCTGGTGCTAAATCTTCACCCTTTGTGGTACATGAAATTTCAATTTATTGCATGAGTTCCCCTACTTAAGCTGGGTGGACAGTTTTTCATGGCATTCTAACAACTTAAGGACTGTTCACATCTGTACTCATCTGATTTCTTTACAGGCTGTTCATTTAGAAGAAAGCAACACTGAACACTTCAACATGTGGTTTTGGATCTGTGTCCCTGAGAAAGCCTTACCAGTTTAAAAATACATATTAATACAATATAACTATTGATTTTGTAAAAATTACATGCTACTGGTGACTAATGAGCTGGAATCTCTTTTTCAATACATGATTTGAAGTGCAAGTTTTTCCTGCAAGTTTGCAGACAATGGAGCTCTATTTTTATAAGTTTACTTTTAATGTGAATTGTTTGATTGGGTGGTATAATTTAATACAAAAACCTTAGACTTGCTGCATCCTTCTCCTTGTTATTCATCAACTACAGCAGTGTAATGTCAGAAACTGCTGTAAGAATGCATTTTGTATACTTTATTACTGCAGCTGCCCTAACTGCAAAGGTTGCAAAGGCTAGAAGGATTTAAAATGGATTATTTGCTTTCAGCATTGCCTTAGTCCCTTTACAGTGTTGAATAATGTGGTGATAAAAATAAAAAGTTAATCACTTACGTTCAGCTGGTTTTTTGGAGTGCCTGGTTTTTCCCTCCCTCTATTCTGGTCTTGAAACTGCATTTGGTATTCTATACTGAGATTTCTATACCAAAAAAGAAAAGGGGTCTCTTGCAAAACACTGAAAGCATTCCTTGTAGAGAAGGCATGTGGTAGATAAGCAACAGTAAGTCAGAAAACTACAGTAACAGCTGTGAATGGCATCTAGTCATTAAAAAAAACCCCAATACAGCAAAACCATCCATATTTTCCATATTAAATACTGGCATTAAGTAATTTATTTTCTTGCAACAGGGAAACAGTTTTTTAGTTAGTTTCCAAAAGCCATCCCTTCCTGAATGGCTGTTAAAGTGGATTTTTTAAAACCATGAGAAAACATCCAGTCTTACATGTTTGGGTTTTTTTACTAAGTAATATCTCCAGTTATGTATTAACAGCTCTTTGAAACTATCAGGTGTCTCGGTGAGCTGATTATTGTTAGGAATTCCTGTATTCTTTTTAGGACTTTTAAAACTTGTACATTTCTAGTAAGTAAATAAAATAAATAAATATATATTAAAAAAAACCAATACAAACAAAAAACTCACAACAACCAAAACCTGGTATTATAGTTTGTTACATTTGCAAGGTAAGTTTTATTTCACTTAATTCAAGCAGTGAACTCTTATAATTACCAGATGCAAAAAGTAGGTGTTTGGTACAGAAATAGATGCACCAATTTAGTATACATGCCTTTTAAGAAAAGTACAGTTTCATATTAGTCCCATACTGTGTTTTCACAATAAAGGTTAATCTAAGAGCAAGAGCAAGTTTATCATGAATGCTGCCCTTAATTGATCAGTTTCCCACACCTCGTGCCACTCCACCCAATAACTGCTTTCACAACAAAGATCAAAGTAGCACTTGTAACTTCAATACCTGTGCTAAGGCCAGACTGATTCCTAGTCTCCTGTATCTCTGCCTTCTCTTCCTCCACCCTAAAAGATCAGAACTCGTGATTAAGTTAGTACCAAATCAGAAAAAGTCAGTGACTCATTTTGTTCCAGGTACTGGAAGATGAAATTTAGGTATCATAGTATCTCCAATACTATACATATGACAGCAGAGGCTGTTTTTAAAAGCATTAAGTTACAGGAGACAGAATATAAAGAACACATGGTATGCATGTAACAAATTGGTGCTAAATGTGTTCTATTAGGGGAGTGAGACACTATCATTAATTCCTTGGTGTTAGAAATGCCTTGGACACTTCTGACCATTATTCACTTTCATATATGCTTCAAATATTTACATTTATTTATGTTTGGTCATATGCAGACATATGTCATATGCAGGCAGGTGAACCTACACCTACATTCAGAATTTTGTCTAAACCCAAACACAGCAGTCAGGGAGTGAAACTTGTTTTCTCTCAAGTATGCAAAATGGTTTTCAAGATCAAGAAATGCCATTTGCAAAACCATCATACAAGAAAACATGTTCTAAATCCTAAAATAATTGTTACTTTTCAGATTTTCTGCATTTAACACATTGCATTTGGTCTATTTTTACTCATATATTCTCCAACGTGAAAACAAGTCAGAACTAACTTACTCTTGTTCCCTGTGTAAAATGAGCAATTACTTCTGCTGCTGCTGCATGTTTACCCAGCTAGTTGGTGCTCAAGACTGGAAAAAAAAAAAAGGAGTTGCTGTTGTAGAAGATAATCAGCTCCAGTACTTCTGTGTTGGAACTGTTGGGACAGTATCAGAGACTTGAGTGGAAGAGTAGATAATTTATTGCCTGACCAAATCAGTTTGTTCAGAAAGGGTCTCTCTGTTGTCTCTACAGATTTGATAACCTGGAGATAAAGACAACCCATTATTAATTAATAAAAAAGTAAAGTTTTGGTGAGTGGGCCAGAAAACCCAAGCAAATAGTTGAGGTGTAAGCTTTTACTGGTTTAAGGCACAAGAATGATTATAATGATGAAGAGTACTAAACCAGTCCTACTACCTCCAATAAAAAATGTAGGTACAACACTGATACCGCAAAATGTTAAGTTTCTTGGTTTGTCAGCCTTAGGTAATAAATGTTATCACAGGCATACTGGGAACAGAGATGACAGTATGTTGTTTGACCAGGCAAGTAACAACCATTAACACTAAAAGCACTACCTTGGAAAAGAGGCAGGTAAAGCAATCTTCTGCTAGCTGTTCTCCAAGACATCTTGCTCCTTAACTTCAGAGAAGCAGAACTGCTAAACAGTGCAGGGATGTGGAAGTATTCAAACCTTTCCTGAAGGATATTTTGTTTTCTCTCAGCCTGGAAATACTGTCTGATGTAACTGCAAGGGAACTGGGGTGGGGGTACATTTTGGAGATCATGGATATCTTCCATACCACTATGGAATATATAAAACGAAACATATTCCTATGTTACGGTATTTCTGTAGTGAAACAGAAGATTAGAAAATGCTTCCCTGGAACTCTATCACAACTTCTTGTTCCTGTATCTAATGACATCTCTACATTACACGATGAAGTGCCATTTCTCGTTCAGAAAGTTGGCATGGGTATCATTCAAAAACAATGAGACAGTGGGACAGCTCACCATGTTGTGCTATTGGGGCACAAATGTGGATAATACCCTTAATTCACAGTAAACTAGTCTCACACATTCACCGTGTCCAATAAAAATGGAAGGGAGGACATCTAAATAACAAGAGATTTTCACTTACATTACTCTAAGCTTCATTCTTTTTTAATTGTTAACAATCCACAGCTCTGACAAAAGCTTACTTCTGGCATAATCTACATTTTGGAGGTAGCTTCAAGATTTGGGTTTTCTTGGGGTTTTTTTTTTGCTTTCTCAGCAAGAAAGAAAAGCGCTGTGTGAAAATATAAAAAACACAAGTAAAACCATTTTTCTTTAAAAACAAATAATGAACAGTTTTGGCTGACTGGAACTGTGAGAATAACCTACTACGTCCTTATGTGTTCAAATAAAGATGTGAAATTTTTCAAAGGTTTAACATTTAAGGTAGGTAATTTGTTGCTGTATTTCTCAGTGCAATAAACCAATGCCGTTTTTTTAATCTTGGTCAAGTGCTTGACTAGATGAGGAAAACACCTGCTAATATAATGCTAAGTTATACAGGTACTATAAGAAGAAAATCTTTACTTACATTTTCCTTTAAGTTAGGAGCTTCCCTGAGAGATTAATTTCAGTTACACATAAATTTAGCACCACTCACAGAAGTTAATTAAATTAATTTTTTTATGCTTTTTCCTCACATATGCTTAGTGATCTCGAAGCCCAGTTACCCCGTTCTCCGTTTATTTGTTGTGTTTCAGTACAGCGAGTTCAGTTACTTGTGTCATCTTTTTTTAATCTATATATTGTGCCCACTTTTGTTTATCAAATTCCCTTGCAATCTTTAAGGCAGTGCTGTTGAGTGAAACAGATTGCATATTACAGATAATACTAACAATGACTCCTCTAGGTGGTGCCACTAGCCCGGTATCTATAGCTTTGGAGTCCAGCTCTTCAGGAAGAATGAGGAGGACACTACTTGCCCCCACGGCACCACCCGTGTGAGATGCATAGTGTCTCTGCTTCCTGCAACAGCCACATTGCTGTTTTTTCTCTACTACAGCCCAAGCCATTGCATATTTACCATCCCTGTCCCATGACACTTCTGTTTTTGGCACCGGGGTCCACATCATTGCGACTGTGCCTGGTTTGAGGTACCCAGGAAGGAGTTTGCCATTAGTGTCTTTGAACTGTCCAACTTGGTAGCTGTATAACAAGGCATTTCCAAATTTAAGAAGGTCACCTACTGACGACAGAAAGCCACCACCAGCCCATTTGTAAGAGTTGTCCACATATGGTGCATTTACCAGCCGTCCCTTTTTGTTGTAAACGTAACACCTATAATTCAAGAAAATGCAACTTGTCATTCTCAGATACTACACACAGCTATTTTAAGCTGCCCTATGTTAAGAGAGCAAACAGAGCACGTATTAACTTGCTGCCATGAAACTTCAGGAGTTTTAAAAATATGTATTTTTTGTAAATATATTTACTGCAGAAAAAATTAACAAGAAATTCAGATGGAAAAACAAAAGTGAAGGTGAGCTCTTAGGTTAGCAGCTTAGTTTCAATAAAAGTACTAATCCTTCTACTTCCTCGTGGGATATAGTGAAAAGTAGAGGCAATATACAAATAAGAGATGTGACAGAAATTTATATCTAAGCCAGCACAGGATTTTTCTTAAATCCCTCTAGTAGATTTAAAGTGTTTGAAGAAACAGGAATCCTGAAACTACCCCATGAGTATCAGACACTGAGCTGAAATGTCACTTTTGTCTTAGGTGACTACTCTGAGGCAGTAGTTTCCATTTAAGACTGATTTCCCCCCACTGCACCACCAGAGTTGCCATATATTACAACAATTGAATGTTCCAGAACTACCAAGAAAGATGAAAAGCATGAAAGAGACTTGCAAAAGCTGTTCTTAAAATAGAAATTAGAAACTACCAACCAGAATTACAGAACGAACTATCAGGGACAACACAACAGGAGTGCAGACTGAATTATGCTTTTGAATGAAACAGTCCGATCATGACTAGATTCATTTCATACAACTTATGAAAAGGAATGTTGAATGATTATGTAATCTGATTCATTTCAATCTTTGGCCTTTAGACCACAAGACATCCATGTACTAATCGACAGTTGTGAAAAAGAACCACTTTAAAAAAACAAGGGGGGAGGGGGAGCTTGGGGGGCAGGGCAACCCTACTACCAAACAGTACAGGGATATACATTCCCTATGCAATCTGCACTTTTCTTAGAAAACTGTAAGGGAACATTTGAAAGCCATAATACACAAAATCAGAGGTTGAAGCAAAGGAAGACACTGAAATGCTTAATTCTACAAGATCCAGAACCTGAAGTTTTAAACATTTTCATGTGGGTGAAATACAGTATAACCAAAGCATTAAACAAACCACATCAATATGTTCTAGTTTGAGGCATCAAACTAGCTACCTGTGGAAGCAAAGCCAGCACACTAGTATCTCAGTTTTGCTTAACAATAATTAGCCTGTAAAAAGAGTCCCAAAACAGCATCTGTGCCAATTTCTTCATCCCTACCATAAAGAAGCTTCTTAGAGGATTAATAATATACAAACATAAATTTAAAAGAACTTGACTGTACAAGCTTGATAATTCATCAGAACATCACTAGCATCCAGATCTGCAGTCAGAAGAGCCTCCAAAGATTTGCAGGCAAAATAAATACCAGCAAGAAGCATCTTAGAATAAAGCTGTAAAGCTGTCCCTAAAGCACCATAAACTGCTTTATGTGTGTGGGTGTACACACACTTAGATGTAAGCACTAAAAACCTGGGATTCAACACACTCACCACCATTTTCATTCTTTAAGAGCATTTTAGAAGCCAAACTTTTAAAAAAGTTTGAGTCTTATTTTCATGAGACTTTTTCCATAACCTGCTTTTGTGATTCAGTTAGAATTTTCTTCCTGCACCGCAATTTAACAGGTGAGTCAATAAATCAATTTCAGACCCCAGGCATGAAGGTCAATAAAATAAGATTGGAGAGAAAGACAAGAAACTCTACCCTTATACACTATATTGCAACGGATTACCCAGTTATATTAATTTGTCCAGGGCTTTTTTGTTTGGTTAGTTTCTGGTTTGACTTTTTTTTTTTAAGTTAATCAAAAGAAATAAGTTGGTAAAGCATGTCCTATGTTAAACAGAATTCTGATTCTGGTTAAAATGTATACTACAATTTAATTTCTAAGAACCCTGTGTTACTGTGAGACTACTACAATTCCACGAACTCTTAAATCAGTATATTAAGCAAACCAAGGTAACTATATATTTCAACATCATCTCCTAGTTAATCCACTTAAACTTATGTGTCTAGTTGCACCCAGAAAAAAATGTAAACTTTAGGGCCACCCCTGCCACTCGCCCCCACATATACTCTTATAACAGGAAATATTTATTTGCTATACTGTAATTTCACATTCTAATTACAGAACCAATTTTACTGACATAAAATCAGTTACATGACTACTTTGAAATATCATAAGCAACTTCATTTAAAATCCTGAATGAAACCCAAAACCCCACACATTCTTAATTCATTTGGCTGAATAAAGAAAGAAAGAGCAACAATTGTTGTGGAAAAAAAAAAAAAAAAAGTTTTTTCCTTGTTTACCTTGCTCTGTTATATATCATTGCTTCATTGTCATCTAGTACAGTTGACAGCATATCCAAATCACGAAACATTTTTAGCATATAATCTGTAAATTTTTGTCCTGAAACTCTCTCCACAACAGCACTTAAGAGAGTAAAGCCATAGGTCGAATACAAGAACTGACTACCTTGAAAGAACACAATGAAAAAGGGGGAAAAAAATTTAGCTGCATGATTCTTAAATGGAATCTGAAGGATAAAATTCAAGTCATCACATGTGCAAACAAAACTATATATAGCAATGAATAATCAGTTAAAAGTCTTCCCCCTTCACTCCCATTTCAGTATGATGTGAATCACAAGCTTATGATAGTGGACTGTAGGAACTTCTGCACTGCAGCAGACACAGATGCTTGCTAAGCGTTTGCAGCTCTGAGGACAGTGCTAAACAATTTTCAGGGATCTGCATGTACAGCCAGGTTTCATTTAACATCCTCTTCACAAGACTGACCATACCAGTTCTAACAAGGATGCCTTAATTTGGAAAGCTGAAGCAAACCATAAAATTACTTCTTAAAAGATGCTCACCTGCTCTGACCTGTTTGTCTATGCCCTAGAGATGGAAAGACAAGGGCAGTACTCACTCAAGGTTTTCAAAGGTCTTGATTACTTTTATCAGTGTTTCTAGTTCTAGTTTTTTTGTTCTAGAACACCATGAAAGATTAAATTAACACTAACATGCATATTATTGATGGCAATATAATTTATTTACAAGACAATGCTTCATTTTTAAAAACCTCACTCTTAGGCTAACACCTTTTATGAAGCACCTACGTATTAAGTGTTGTCAAACTGCCTACGGCCAAGAGAGATCTCTTACTTGAAATGGTTTCTAGGTTTCTCCAAGATAGTAAGTTCTTAATTTCTCCTCCTTCCTACCCCTCTCCCTGTAAATGGACAGTTATTCTTTACCAGCAATGCACATCATTTGCCTGTTAGCCTAACTCATTTAGAATTTACACTGGAAGTTACACAAAGTCCTGTCTAGAATTAACTTAAATAATTCCAACAATAAATAACCTCAACAATTCTGTGATTCTCTGGTCTTTCTGTAGATTTTTTTAGCTCTGGGTTACTGCCTCAATGAAATTTTTTGCTTTTGGTTCATATCCAGAAGTCCCAGAGCATGAATACAGCAAGCTGGTATCAGCCTTACAAAATACTTTGTAGATACCAATTTGTTACCAAGATTATAATTTCCCTTAGCATTCCTGAACTCAGTAACTGGTACATTTCATAGCATTTACTGCATTACTTAACACTCCTGAGAAAAAGAGTCTTATTTCTACCTGAGGTCTCACTTTCTCTTCTCACCTCCATTATCTGGGACTTTTTCTATTACCTTTCAAGCCTCGGCTATCTCACATTTTGACCCTGCTGGAATAGGGTGCAGGTACACCATTAAGAAGGTATTTATATAAGCATAATTATTGAAGTCAATAGATTGGCAAAGATACCAATACAAAATTAAACTGATAAAATCCTGACCAGTTCAGTCAGTTTTAAGACAATTACATAACCAGATGATTTGTGCAGAACAGCCCAGTTGAGCTTTCAATGGTGCACAAAAAAAAAAAGGGGGGGGGGGGGGGGGGGAAAGCAGAACAGAACAAAACCCCCACACAAACACTCCTTACTGGACTCCACAATCCTCACTGCATGTAAAACAATTTGAAACAAAAATTTCACCAGAAGAACACATTTTCCTCTAAATTAATAGAAACTCACCTGGTTTAAAGAATAAAGGATCATTTTTAAATATCTTCAGTGATTCAATCACACTTTCAAATTTTTCCTTCAAATAATACTCTTCTTGCTCAAATTCCTTGTCTCTCCTGCCAGGTTTTGAACTTAGGCTTTTTGCCTCACCTTCATGTTCTTTCCTTGGCTTGTCACTGTCAGTTTTTACAGTCTCTTTGCCTTCTTTTTGTTCCTTATCCTGACAGGGTTTTGTTCGTTTAAATGCTCTGTTTGCCTTTTCCTTTTCTTCCTTTACTTTTGCAATATCTTTTTCATAGTGACGAATCCCACTCAAGTGTGAAACTAACAGCCTTGTAGTAACAGCAACCTAGGCAGAAAGAAAAATATTTACCCATGAGCTCTTTCATTGAAGATGCACACCAAATCACCAGAAAAGCAAAATTCAACATGACAAGGAACAGACAAAGATATAAACCCTTTTGAATATCATGTCTTCAACTCAGTTAAAATATATACAAGCACTTGATATAAAACTCAAGACCTGAATTTCTAGCATTGCTTTTTTGAGCAGCAAACATCAGTACTTGTTAAGTGATGTTTGGTGTTTTACGCAAAAAGGTTCAGGCACAGGCACCCGTTGTGCAATGTGGTTGTGCAACGACAGGAACAAAAATCCAAAGAAGTGTTACCAACAAAGAGTTACATACCTTTTCACCCTCGTAGACTTTTTCTGGAAATTCAGGGACATATTTCTGCACTGGAGCATCTAAATCCAGTTTACCCTCTTCCCACAGTTTAGCAACAGCCATCATTGTAAGACACTTGCTAATGCTGGCAATTCGCATGATTGTCTCTGGCTTACACACCACACGGTTCTCCACATCAGCATAACCCAAACCTTTAAGAAAAGAAAAACACTGCAGTAAGTATTTTGCAAAGAGACATGCTGAATTCAGTATTTGCAATAAATCAGCTTTACTGGCTTCTTAAAAGGTTTTTCCTCTGGCTAAACTGATACATGAAGTATTGGCCTATCCCTGCTCCTGCTTCAATTAAGTTAATAACAATTTAATGTAACAGACAGTCAGTTAGCCAAAGCCCATTTTACTGGCCAATGGCATCCTAAATTACTGACTAAGACTAATAAACTATGCTACTGACAAATGAAATTAAAGATTAAGCCAAAATTTGCACTTCTGAGACCAAAATCTAGACTGTAAAAAGTAACTGACCAAAAATCATAAATACACTTTTTTTTGTTCAAATAAACGGTTTGAAACAGTAAAGGTTCTTATTTTATCAATACACAAATTGAAAAAGGAATTAACTCAAAACTCACAAAAATGACCTAAGCTGTAAAGCTTCACAAAGCAGTGATGTTATACACTGTTTTATCATGACTCAGCATGACTTCAATTAAAAGACAACTTAATAGTCTGCATACCAGTGTTTTCCTAAGTAGCCAACCTGCAAGACTAGTGGGAAGAACTGGAATTTACAAGGCGTTATCCAGCTCCCATACTAGTGCCCAGTCTGAGCTAGGTTTGAAGAAACTGTGCAAGTGATGTTGCAGCAGAAAAAGCAATGAAATGCAGTACTGACATATTTGCAGTTTTCAGTACAAGCAAGGCCCAAAATCGATTAATGTCTGTCTGTCTCAGACTGTCGTCTAATAACGAACTACTAAGGAAAGAAACCCTTACCAAAATACAAGAAATAAAACAGATGAGACATCAGTTGCCCAAGTCCCTTTCTTTTATGTGAAGCTGCTACTCAAGCACTTGCATGGTGCTTGTGAACACAGATGCTCTAGTCCTCAGTGAAAATACTTTTCAAATCTCAAATGATTCCCATCAGTTTAGCAAGAAAGCAGGTTTAGTACCATGGTCATAGAACACATGCAGCTTCCTCTTGTTCTTTTCCCCCCATGAAGAAGGGAGGAGGACAAGACACTGAGTCAGAAGTCTGCTACAGCAATGGTACCCACCTCCTGGCTACCTTATTCAGGGCAGTGCTGCTCTCTGTGCCATACACAAAGCTCTGCCGTGGCTTATGCTCCCAGTTGGAGCTGGCTTGCTACTGGATCTGGCAGTCCTGTGATAAACCACAACCCAGGCACCAGTTCCCTCAGGCACTTCCCTGCATGTCAAGGAACAGATTCTGCAGAAGCCTTATGAACTCTTCTGCTTTCATTACTAGGCAACCTGAAACCAGAAAAGGCTATCTCATTTGAGAAAACTTGGCAGTAAGTTTCCAGCATAATCTTCTTAGAGGCCCTCCAACTCACTTGTGTCATGATGAAAGAGAAATTAAAGCCTATGAAAAGTTAATGCAACAACAGACTGTCAGAAGTTAGCAACAATCTTACTTACCAAGCTTTTTTTCCAAATCCTGTAACACTTTAATAAAATATGTTGCCATATACTTTTACCGCTTAAGCTATCCAAAACACCCAAAAGGCAATATGGAAATGTTTCTGAAAACAGACACATAGCTTGGTGGTTTTCTTTAAATAAACATCAAATGTCTACACGATATAAGCAGTACTAACTGACCCTATTTAAAACTAAACCATGCAACCAGAAAAATTCCTTGCAATTTCTGGAAGGATGACACCTGTTAAACTTCAGCACCTCCCCACTAAAAATCTACACCTCAGCCCACAACCAGAAGACAGCTCCCCAAATGTGAGCCATTATTACTTTGACTATTAAGTAAATTCCTGTGGGGAGACCAGTTCTTTACTTCCTATGTACAATACTACCAGATCACTGTACAGCTGTATGCCTTGAGCACATTCAAAGACTGATCTGACAAATTAAAGAAAGAAAGGTTCTTAAATGTAACTGTTGAGACATATTAGCACACTCAGGAAGTTGAATAATTATTGATTCCTGGAAATTATTGACATTTACCAAGGGAAGTATCACTTCATACTTCCCAGGCCACTATCTGGAGGTGGGACATCAACTGGATGAAATCCCACCCTGACCAGTGTGTCCAAATTGTTAACTTTTTAAAACATTATTTCCCAACACTGTGCTCAACTGCTACTCCCATGTACTAACCTTCTGACCAGACTTCCTTTCCATCGACAGAAACTCCAACGAGTATACCTGGGATTCCTGCTTCATCCTGTAAAAAAATAAAAAAGGGCAGCAGACATTAAGAAGGATCTTTACAGTTCAAAATACCTTCTCCCAAGCCCTAAAAATGCAAAAGCAATCCTACAAATACACCTTCATATTGTCATCACATTTGTTGAACACTAGTAGGGCTGAAGTGGCATAAACTGCTTCTGAAAAGCCGGTATTTTAATTGAGCAACTGGGAAGAAGTATGACTAAACAACCATTTAAATAATGTATTTAATAATTTAAATAAACCAGCTTTCAGGACATGCAAGAAAAACGGAACAGACACAAAAGATTACAGATAACATGCAGCATGCAAACTGCATCATTTATCAGCAGAATTTGCATGCAGCTTCAGTGAGATGTTCAAAGTAACCCCTGCCTCTCCCCTCGTCTCCACACAGCCCCCTTGGGCCCCCATTTCCTCCGACGCCCTCGCACTCCCACCGGCGCCCACAGCGGGCTCTGCCTGGCCCGAGCTTCCCAAGCCCTGGCAGCCTTCACGGACACCGCTTTACAAGAACGAAACCCTCCGTAATTCAGCTACGGCGACATTCACCGGGACAGGACGGGCAGGGGGCGGGAGGGCACCGGGCTCCCTCCTCCTCCTCCTCCTCCTCCTGCAGCGCGGGGCGGCTCCTCCCAGCCCCGGACCCTGTGCCCACCCAGGCCCGACCGCCCCTCCCAG